AATGCACCAGGTGGCCGCTGCTGGCCCGGTAGGGCAGCCAGCGTTTTACAGCGTTGTCACAGAAAAGGACGTCCAGGAGGCTCACAGCCGCCGTAAGGAGGCACTTAGGGCCGCTCGGAAGGCGCTGAATCTCGAGGAGGCGGACCGCGTCCCCAACGCCCAGCTGTGGGCGACCGTCATGGCCCAGGCTGGGGCCATGACGGAAGGCCCATGCGGGCTGCGGGTGGTGAAATCCGCGGTATCGGCGATGCTGGAGCAGGCGGAAGAGGCGGTTGTAGACGCTTTGGCCAATGTGGGCCCAGGGCTGGTCACTGAGCTGCGTGCGTGCTTTAGTAATGCAATAGAGCCGCATCGTCGCGGAGTGCTTAAGTTTATAGGTCAGCAGGCCAAGCAGGCCTCGAAGGAGCGCTTTGTAGGGCAGGTTACGGGACACCTGGTACAGTGGGGCTGGGTGGAGACGAGTCTGGCGACGTTGAAGATGCGGGCTCGTGATGCACGGCTGCACTGGTTGGAGGCGGCACTCCAGGCCGTGAACGTGAGCACGCCGACGTTTCTGGAGATGAAGCAGCGCGCCTGGCCGGCCGTGATCCTGTTGATGCGCGCGGCCCAGAGAATCCACGATGGTCATGACAGGATGGCGGAGAATATCCTGAAGCACGGGGGAGGGGACGGTGGCGACCGCAAGCTGTTGTGGGGCCCCGGCGCAGCAGGGGAAGGGCGGCCGCCGGGGGCCCCCGNCCGCCCAGAGCAGAGGACCGCTGGTTGGGGACAAGTGGGTGGGGGCTTTCAGGCCCCCCCTCGGGACGCGGGGCTGGGAGCGCCTCACGCCGGGGGCCGCGGAGTGCAGCGCCTGGGCCCACCTGCTAGCGTGGTGGCAGCGGTCAATCAGGAGCTAGACCGGCGGGGATTCCAGGGTGTGGGCTCTGGGTCAATCTCGGAGATTGCGTACCGCGGCAACGTGGATGGAAGCAAACTCTGCATTACCCACGCGTGGAACGGGCGCTGTGCCCGGGCACAGACGGG